AGGAAGTGATTGTTGTCCAATTGCAAGGGCTTTTTCGAGAGATGAAAGTGCTTTTGGATAATCACCCATGCTGTCATACACCACACCGATGCCTGTATAGGAACAAGCAAAATTAGGATGATTAGAAGGAAGTGTTTCGTGTTTGATAGCAAGTGATTTTTCATTATAAAAAAGTGCTTCTTGATATTCTCCTTGATTATGTTTGATCCAAGCTAGTCGATGATAGATATTTCCCTTATCATTTTCATCCGTTGTTTGATGAAGTGAAATTTCATAAACTTCTTTAGCCTTATTAAACTGTCCCATTGTAATTAGCAATTCACCTAATCTGTACCATCCTTCAATACCTGGGAAGGTCTCTTCTCGTATACGATCAGTAAGAGTTCGAAGATCTTGATCGTTGTCATTGGTCAATGTTAAATTCACTTTATAGAGATGATTATTTTCATCCATTGGTTTAATATCTCCAATACGAAAAATGGTATGCATAGAGAAGAGAACTTCGTCTTCTGTGTGAAAATAACTAACATTACTAACAGAAGCAAATGGAGTCGTTGAGTGAGTAGGATTAATGGACATAACAAATAGAATTCCAACAAGATCAGGATTTGTGGAAGCTTGTTGTGCAAAACTAAGGGAAATATCACGATTTTTACTAGTTGATAAAAAGTTATTAAATGAAAGAAGTCCACCTTTAGTATTTGTCATTTTGGTGAAATCTTCTTTTGAAAGCCCTTGTCCACGATAAACTGTAAATGTTGTACCTAATTGATGATCATCCAATTGTTCCGAATGTAGTCGTTGAATATCATAATGTAAATCATTAATAAAGAAACCCATTCGAATAATAATATCAACATCCATTGATCGTAATGCTTGATTGAGCATACGATATAAAAATGCATTCCATGTATACCACCAAATGGGTATCTTGTTTTTGTATGTTGTTTGTAATTGATTAACATTTGTTAATTCATTTTCATCATCATTATATACTTCACGACAATAAGTAATAAATTCTTCAAAATGATTGTCTTCGAAGTTGATGGTTAATAAGATCTCTTTCAAGATCTGAGTGTACATAAAGGATGGATCTAATTGATCTAATTTCTTGTTTGATGCAACAAAGCTGATTGAGATGGCATTTTGCTCACATTGATGAACAGCTGGTTTAAGAGCTTCACAGATTGAAGTTATATCTGTGAAGACTCCTTTTATTTTAGGCCATTCTTTGGCCCATTGTTTATGCCATTCTTTGTTGTGACAAAAAATAAAAATGCTGTCTATTTGGGATATGCCATGCACACGTGGCACAATATGTTGTCCAAGTGAACCAGAAACAATCATGCATATTTTGTTATTGTTAATGGTTTGAATAAATTCAACACATTCTTCACCATCTGTAAACGTGTTTACGTTGTTAACTATACAATTCAGTTGTTTGATGGTATTACTACAGTCATCATTATTATCATTAATATTGTTGTCCAACCAAATAAGGACGACATTTTGCATTCTTTGCATGTTAATACGTCGATTTGCAACTGCATCGTTGCAAAAGTTTGATACGTATTCAGCATTATCTTGTGCATTGGTTTGAACACCTGGTATATATATATAGTTGCCCATCGTTTATTGTAATGTAGACTACTTCAAGAAGAAATATCTATAAATAAATGAGAGTAACGTGTCATTTCATAGTATACGAACTTTTTTTTCGAGATTGTTCTTTTTATTATCATTTACATTGCTTTCTCTATTATTAGTATTTCACTTGTTTTTTTCATATTTGTTAAATATACGTCACGGATCTCGGGTCGGATTCGACCTATATTTCTTATATTTTGTGCTATGTATTGCTCGTTTTTCTATTTTTCCTGTATTGTGTCGAACAAAGTGAGAAAATGTTCAAAAATCAGTCAGCTCTGCTATACATAGCCTTTAACCTGTGAAAAGTTCATATATCTACCACATAGTCAAATATTTTTGAAGAATGAGTATATAATACTGACATCAGTTGTAAATAGATGATATATTTTCGTTTTCGCTTACTAAATCGATTGACTCTAAATTCTTCAATACTACGCTAAGTAAGCTAACAGAAAAACCGTGAATATATATTAAATTATCAGACTTAAGAAAAGAAAGGACATGACGAAGAAAGCCAACAAATCAAACTTTTTCTTTCTGTTTTCTGAGAAATAAAATAACATAGATAAACCATACCTGTAAAACGTAATTGAGTTGCAAATAACAAATGAAGAATCATACACGAATAAATTACATACGTTTCTATTTATCCATTATCTTTGTCATGCCTTCTCTTATCCTCTTCTACAAATACTGTTATGTATATATATGTATTTATACACGTGAGGTCGTGAAACGATATTGTAACATATTTTATTTTATTATTCCTTTCTTTTATCTTCTCCTCTTTTCATACCGATCTTATTTCTCGTTTTTTTTCTTCTAGTGTGAACCTATATGGTCATATTAAAATAAATGAAAAATAAGAAACGACTTGAAAGGATGTCATCTGCATATAGATGAGAAAAATTTATTGAAGGTATTTCAATATCATCCAATTTTGAAAATAAAAAATTGAAGTTATTCAACAAAACTTCTTTTTTTTTGAAAATTAAATTATAATACTTCTATTTATTTGTTTTGAAGACATCAATATCACCGAAAACAAGTTGATCGTGTACATTTTGATATTTTAGGTTGAGTCAAAGTTCATTTTTTTCATAATCAATATGTTTGTGTTATCTTTTAGAAGTAGCTTATATTCGACTAAAATTTATTTCTGAAAACGATCACATACACCAGTCGCCGATCTTGCCCTATTCTTTCCAGGTTCTTGTTTTTCTTGATTTTCAAGCAAGATTCTTTTTCTATTCCTTACATGCAAGATTCTTGCCTGAAAATTCCTTATATACAAGATTCTTGTCTGAAAAAACTGATCTTGCCTTTCTTGTGAGATTCGTGTAAACCAAATCTTGTCTGATGAGGCAAGAAATTCTCCTCCAGACAAGATTCTTGTTCTCTTACTTTCTTGCCTGATTCTTGTTTTCCTTGAATTCTTGCCTGATTCTTATCTTTCTTACTTTCTTGCCTGATTCTTATCCTTCTTGATTTTCTTGCCTGTTTCTGATTTCTTAGGCTTCTTGCCTGATTCTAGTCATATTAAAAAAGCCTTTTCTAGGTTATTACTATTATTTTTATTTTACTTTATTATAAGCTTTTCACACCATGTACAAAAAATATAAAAGAACAAAAAAATACTTTAAATTTCACATTTTCATGAAGTAATTTTAGTTTTTAACATAAAAATTAACATAAAAAAAATAAAAACAAATCTTTTATTTATTTTCTTAAAATTTTACCTATACGATGAGGATTATCAAATAATAGTTTTTTAAATAAATCAATATTTTCTTCGTCCATTATATGTAATACTTTTATCGATAGTGAAAAATCTAGAAAAAAAATAAAATATATAGATATGAATTAGAAAAATATCAAAATATGTTCAATAAGGATTGCCTTCAGTAAACAACGAGAAAATGGATATCATATATTCCATTGTTTTCGTGATATAAAATAAACGTTTACTATGCATCCAGTTAAAATAATAACTTACTAGGTGTCGTCCAAACTAAATAAACGCTTTAGGAAAATAAAATAGTATAAGTGAATGTGTACTATACTTATTCAGTCAGTAATGATTATGAATAAATAACAGTCAGCCAATGCTTTTATATATGTGATAAACAAAGACCATATCACGTGCCGTTCATCTTGGAAAGCTAGCAAGAATATTTTTTGCTTTTCTATTACAAGAATCTTGTCTGAATAGTAAGAAATTTAAAATATCTTGTGTTTCTTTCCAGTTTCTTTTTATCATGAACTTCAGTCAAGATTCTTTTGAAAGAGAAGAAAAAGATTCTTGTCTGAATATTAACATATCTTGAATATCTTATAATTCTTGCCTGATTCTTTTATTTCTGATTGTTCAGACAAGATACTTGTCAACTGAAAATTCTTGTATGATTCTTTTTACTTTCTTGTCGAGAAGAATCTTGCCTGAACACAAGAATCTTGTCAGAAAATCAAGAAAAGCAAGAACCTGGAAAGAAGAGGACAAGAACGTCGACTAGTGTATTATGTTATGAAACATTCCCATAAAGAACATAACTGTTTATAATTTGTAAAACTATCTGTAAAATATATTTTTAGCTTTTAAATAGCAATAGTAAAAATTTATTGTACTTGTATAAACATAGATCTTCTTTGTAAGTAACATTTGTATTTATGTTCAATACTAAACGAAAAAAAGATATAATGTGCAATGAATAACTTAACTATATAAAATTATTACATGTTATCAACTTTTTTTGTTTAAATGAAAGTAATAAAGAGAATGCAATTCATTTATGAACGACCATTCGCTTCACTATATATGGCAGTAGAATTCAAATTAATTTTTTTATCAAATTATTAATATAATCGCATATAAAATTGTACACTATAGTGTACGTTTTGTATTTTTGCAGTATCTTCTATCTGTGTTGGTATTTTGAGTAATATCTATTGTTGTATAACTAACGAGGGGAAGTTCTCAAATATTCAAGCCGTTTAGATTCTATCCGATGACCACTAGTAGACCTTAATGAAGTACGAAAAACCTCAAAAGGATTTATTTTCTCGTGCCTTTGTTTTCGATCGAGAACATAATATCTTAGAAAAAATCAAACGAACGAATTTTACCCATAAATAGATCTAATAATGCCTAGAATATTTCTAAAGTTTTAATCAAACTGATTTTCAAATTGAGATTATTTTAAAACGGAATATCTCGCGACGAAAGCATTCGTTTTGGCTGAAACTCGTTTATTCGATTTTTCACGAAATATCATGCTCTCGACCGAGGATCCAGTATAAAAGGTTACTAAGAACACTAAGTAATATATATTATCATAATACGTCTGTTAAAAGAAACAAGTTTTACTAAAATTGAATTGCACGTGTATAAGAACTGTATACAATATTTATTCTTTTTTTCTTTCTTTCATTTCTGCTCGATATATATCGTGGTACGTTTCTTTATGAATTAAATGGATTCTTATGATATTCGCTGCTGACTTGCTATTGTTTGTTGCCTATACATCAATTATTCAATATACAAAAAACTCAATGGTTTGCTAATAATTTAGAATAAAAACTAACTCATGCCTTTATGAAGTAAATAGAAAAGCAGCATTTCTTCTAAATTATAACAGAAATAATCTGATAACGAAATAAATCTTATGTATTTTAAGAGAAAAGAAATGACGATATATAACTATATATAAATTCTTTCTTTTTTCTTTTTCTTAAACAAGTTTAAGTGACATACTGTTATACTATCTCGTATGCACTCGATACTTTGTGTATTTTTATTATTTATAACATCCATCAATGGACAAGGTTTATTTGATATCAAAGATCTTGATTGGTCTACTCGTCCTACTGATAATTTCTTTATGTTTGTAAATGGTCGTTGGATAAATCGAACTACAATACCATCATCTGAAACTGCATGGGGTGGATTATATACAATGAAATATGAAAATACATATAAATTAAAAAGAATTCTAGATGATTTAGTACGACATGAAAAAGCCGAAGAATTATATCCTATTGATTCAATAGAACGTAAACTTACGGATTTCTATTTAGCTGGACTTGATGAACAAGCTAGAGAATATGTAGGTCTTGAACCTTTAAAACAAACATTAATTCAACTTCATAATGTTCAAACATATCAAGAATTAATTGAATTTATATTGAATTGGTATACAAAAATGAATAAAGGTCTTATATTTGATTTTGAAGTTTGTGCTGATGATCGAAATTCATCGATTAATATGGTTCATTGGAAAGTAATATCAAATAGTTAAATTATTTATTCATTTATTTATCTATTTTTTAGCAAACTGGTACTGAACTTCCTGAACGTAATTATTATTTTCGTAATGATGCAAATTCGAAAAAAATTCGTCGACATTATATTAATTATATAGATCGTCTTCTTACTTTATCAAATGATATTTTAAATGTCACAACAGATTCTACTGATGCCGAAGATATTTTTTCACTTGAAACACAATTAGCTGTTTCACATCGTACACCATATGAATTACGTGATGCTGAATTAAATTATAATAAATATACTATTACACAACTTAATGATATGATGCCAAATCTTGATTGGTATAAAATTTTATCTATATTAACAATTGAAAATCAAACTGTTATTATGACTCAACCAGATTATTATCGTTTATTAGATAAATTAATTGTTAGTGAATCATTAGATATTTGGAAAAATAAAATACGATTTACAATTTTACATGAAATGTCAAAATATTTAAATAAAGATTTTATTGAAGCTCGTTTTCATATGTTTGAACATATAATCTATGGTCAACATGTTGATAAAACACTTGCAATAAATATTATTGAAAAAATTGATAAACATCTTGGTGAATTACTTGGACAATTATATGTATCTCGTTATTTTCCATCTGAAGCTAGAGAACGTACTATTAATTTAGTTAAAAATTTAATTGATGCTTATTATGAAAGAATTGATAATATTCATTGGTTAAATAATATAACAAAAGAAAAAGCTTTAAAAAAACTAGAAACATTAAGTATTAAAATAGGTTATCCATCAAAATGGAGATCTTATGATGATATTTTTATTGATCGTTCATCTTATTTTAATTCAATATCAAGTATATTACAACATGATTACAGAAAAAAAATTGAAGATTTAAAAAGATTAGTTGATCGAGATGAATGGGAATTTTCACCTCAAACAGTCAATGCATTTTATGTAATATTTCAGTAAAAAAAATTCATTTTTTTATAATTCATTTTCTTTTATTATTTAGTATGCACCATTGAATGAAATTATGTTTCCAGCTGCTGTCCTTCAAGAACCATTATTTTCATTTTTTGCTGATGATGCACTTAATTATGGTGCAATTGGTTATGTTATTGGACATGAATTAATGCATTGTTTAGATGATCAAGGTAGAAAATATGATGAAAATGGAAATCTTGATTCCTGGTGGACAGAAAATGATATACATGAATTTAAATCTCGTACAAAAATTCTTGCCAAACAATATAATAATTATGAAATATTAAATACAACTGTGAATGGTGAATTAACACTTGGCGAAAATATTGCTGATCTTTCTGGTCTTGAAATAGCCTATCACGCATTTTTACGTACAAATCAAGCAAAAGAAAATCTTCTAATTGATGGTTTTACACCCAAAGAACGTTTCTTTTTAGCGTTTGCAAGAACATGGAGAGTTAAACTAACAACTGAAAAAACTTTACTTTATACTAAAATAGATCCACATGCACCAGTTAACTATAGAATCAATGGACCATTATCAAATATGATGGGTTTTTATGAAACATTTAATGTTACAAGAAATGATGCTATGTTTAGAGAAATAAATGATCGTGTGCTCATATGGTAAAAAAAGAGAGCGTATGTTTTTATTTTGTTTTCTTGTAAATTATACATTAACATAAATGAAGGTTTGATTTATTAGAACATTTTCTAGACTATTTTTTGTTTTCGTTAATAAAACTAAATAGAATGAAAATATTGTTTACTAGAAATAATAAAACAGATATTCAAGTTAAACTATCACATGATTGCATTGATATATTTCTCGTTCGATTTCATCGTATTAGATGCAGCCATAGTAAAGAATGAGAATATGAATAACGAATATTTTGTTTTTTTTCTCTAATCGAATCTATAGTATCTTGAAACAATATATTACAAATGATGTGCGTCATAATAATCTTCTATCGTCCAATTATATTCGATGAATGAATAAAATACAAGAGCTACTAATTCAGATAAGTCTAGAAGACACTTAAAGCCTAGCATCTAAATCACTATTCTTAGGTCACAATGACATAATCTTTAGTTGTATGATTATTCTTTATAGGGTCTGTCATCAGCAAAAAGACAAAAATAGTTTCTTTAAAAAGCTTGCATCGATCATATAAAAGCGAATGAATAAATATAATACTTTTATTTTAATTTGAAAATAAAACGACAAAAAAAACTCATAGTTATTTATTGAGTAATTTGAAATGAACTTTTGCCTTCATCGTAGATTTGTGAATGGGGGTGTTTTGAACCACATTCACCATTGCAAACTGCGATTGTTACATTGTATGTACCTGGTAACCATTGTTCACATTCTTCTGTTAAATAGAAATAAAAATATACACATATATATATTTCGAAGTTAGTGTTTTTTAATAGATTTTACCTTGTGTTGGATCACATTGTGGATCAGGTTCAGCTTTAACAGTGATTCGTTCGTTGTATGTACCAGGTTTTTGAGCTTCTAATAAGAAACCAGCACCAAGTGGAATCTTATCTGGTGTATGAATTTCAACAACAATTTCACCAGTACCAGTTCCATTTAATGATACGAATGTAAAGTCAATAGAGAATGTTGTACCTTGTCGTCCGCTAGCTGGTAAAACTGCAAATTTGGTAATTTTAGCATCACCATGGTCGTTAACTAGAATAATGAAAACATTTTAGTTTAGAAGAAAAAAAATAATAAAATAATAAATTTACTTGGACACATTTTAGCCATTTCACAATACCAAATTGGATCGAGATCAGCTTTTTCAATTAAATTGATGAATTCTTCAATACCAAAAACATCACAAGCTAAATCACAGATTGTTCCAAGAAGTTGTGAACCAGTTTTTTGAGCTAATGCGGAGCATAATGTGCTACATGTTCCAATAATACCACTATCAAGAATAATATTGAGTAAAATATTAATTGATTGATCAGCAGCATTGATACATGTTGGGCAAAGATCAAGACGTACTTGTGGAGCACCGAAGTTTGAGTGAACGCGTTGAATATTTTTACTATTCGCTGCGCTAGCAATACCAACAACAGCAATAAATACGACTGCAAGAGCCTTAAACATGATTTTTTCTAGATAGATTTTTGTTTTTACACAGACGACAATGGACAATGGAATACGTTTCATATAAATACACCTTTCATGAGAAATATACCAGCTGTTTAATGAAAATAAACGCACTGCATATTAACCTTGATGTTTCACAAATGGTCAAATTTTCACATAACTTTTTTTTTTGTTTGAGAATATTCTTTTAATTTGCTAATATTTTGCGTTATTCTATTCTTTTTACGTACTGAAAATAGTAATGATGCGTCGTTGGAAGAAATAAGAATAAAAATTTATCGAACATTTTTTAAAAATAATTCACAAAAGTATGTCATTTTTAACTGACATATTTTACTTCTAAAAGAAGTATATTTTTATACAGGTCAAAGATTAGTATTTATCAAATTGATTCTAGAACTATTCTTCGACAGGATATCAATTTGTAATGTTTATTTTGAGTATTAGGAAAAGATGAACGATGAAATATACTTGTTTTAAATGTGTTCGTATGGTGCCATATTCTCATGTTATTCTATGATTAGATATATCAATATTATAAAGAAATTATCTATAGATAATCAGTGAACGCATCTTATTATTACCGATTATTCCTTAGAAGACAATCCTATGCGATTGTATGACTGACATTATGATTAAATATTCTTTTTTCTAGTTTGTACTGGAAGAACATATTGATAAGAGGAAGCATATTGATAAAAATACATTTTACATTATTTCGTTTTTTTTTATATTATTCATTAGCATATATCTTAAGTAAAACATAATGTTATATCGATCTCGATTCTATTAGACAGTTTTTTACATTCAGTTTATGTTAAATTCTAATAGATTTATTGAAATTTATAAGTTAAATAACAATGCAAAAAAAATTTATTTCTTTTTTGTAACAGTAAATTGAGCTTGACCGACATCATATGTGCCTGAATGAGGATGATGTGAACCACATTCTCCATTACATAATAGTGCAGTGACATTGTAAGTACCGACTGGAAAATCATCACAAACTCCTATAGAAACAAACATAATTATTATTCAATAGAAGAAAAACTTGAAATTTACCTTTTACTGGATCACAGTTCCAAGCGCTTACAGTTTTAAGAGCAATCTTTTCAGGATATGTACCAGGTTTTTTTGCTTCAACCAGAAAATCATTACCACTTGTTTCATTGTGAGAATCAACAATATTAAGAGTTAACATACTTGTACCAGTTCCATTTATTGTTTTGTATGAACAATCAATAACAAATGTTGTACCTTGTGGACCGGTATTTGGATAAACACCAAAATTTGTGAATTTGGCATCACCGCTATCGTTAACTATAGATTTTTAAAAAAACACGTTAATATATAATAAAACTCTTTATTGTTATCTTACTTTCACACATTTTAGCCATTTCACAATACCAAATTGGATCAAGATCAACAGTAATAATTAAACGAATAAATTCATCAAGACCAACAGCATCACATGCTATATCACATACTTCACCAACAAATTTTGATGTTTTATTAGCAACAATACCACATAAATCTCCACAAGTTCCTAAAATTCCTTCATCAAGAATGACATTGAGTATGACATTGATTGCAGAGACAGCTTCATCGATACATGTTGGACAAAGATCAACACCAACGTTTTTATCTCGGTGATCAGATGTAAGACGTTGTAAATTATTTGATGGAGTATTAAATGAACGAGTAGCACTCGATACTCCAATAAAAACAAGAAGGATAGTAGTAAGAACCTTGTACATTGTTGTTTTATTATTAATTATGAAGCTTGTAAATAGTTTGAAAACGGTTTCTAATAAATATCGTCTTTGTGAGAACAAATCAAGATGTTGAAAATAGCTGAATAGACTGATGTTATTAATATCGCACAAATGGTTTAATTTTCACACAATACATTTCGAATCTTTTTCTTTGACAAAGCTAACATGTAATCAATAAATATAATCGATAAAATCAAAAATAAACATTCCATGTTGTATACATGATATTAATCTAATATGCACTATATAATCAGACGAAAGATTACATTAATCCCGAAGTACGCATCATTTCGTCAGTATTCCTCAAAGATTTTTCGAAGACATTCTAACGTTAGAAAAAAATTTATAAAATTGTGGATGTATTCTTTGCAGTTTCTGTTGAAATGGAAACAAGATAGTTTGAAAATAGACAAGAGATCTTGTTGTATTTTTTTATTTATATAACAAAGACTGTATTAACTATTTCATCAATATACAGTGTATACGGATCTCGACAAAAAAAAATGTATGATACTTTTGTTGTAGAGAAATTTATTTACATTCAATTTAGATTATAAATGAGCAAAATTATTTCAATTAAATTGTAATAAATTTATTGAAATTTATAAACTAAAATAGGTACATAACAATGAAAAAAATTTATTTCTTTTTTGTAACAGTAAATTGAGCTTGACCGACATCGTATGTGCTTGAATGAGGATGATGTGAACCACATTCTCCATTACAGAATTGTACAGTCACATTGTAAGTACCAACTGGAAAATCATCACAAAGTCCTATTAAAATAAACATAATTGTTATTCAATGAAAAAAAAAATCTTGAAATTTACCTTTGACTGGATCACAATTCCATGCGCTTGCAGTTATAAGACCAATTTTTTCAGTATATGTACCGGGTTTTTTTGCATCAATCAAAAAATCATTATCACTTGTTTGATTGTGAGAATCAGCCATTATAAAACGTAACATACTTGTACCAGTTCCATTTAAAGATTTGAATGAACAATCAATTTCAAATTGTGTACCTTGTGGACCAATATTTGGATAAACACCAAAGTTTGTAAATTTAGCATCACCATGATCATTAACTATAGATTTTAAAAAAACATGTTAATATATAATAAAATACTTGATTCTTATCTTACTTTCACACATTTTAGCCATTTCACAATACCAAATTGGATCAAGATCAGCTTTAACTATTAAATGAATAAATTCGAGAGCACCAGCAGCATCACATGCTATATCGCATACTTTACCAAGAAATGGGGATGTTTTGTTAGCAACAATACCACATAAATCTCCACAAGTTGCATAAATTCCTTCATCAAGAATGGCTTGGAGTAAAACATTGAGTACAGTTACAGCTTCATCGATACATGTTGAACAAATATCAAAACCAACGTTTTTATCTCGGTGATCAGATGTAAGACGTTGTAAATTATTTGATGGAGTATTAAATGAACGAGTTGCACTCGATACTCCAATAAAAAGTAGAAGGATGACAGTGAAAACCTTGTACATTGTTGTTTTATTATTAATTATGAAGCTTGTAAATAGTTTGAAAACGGTTTCTAATAAATATCGTCTTTGTGAGAACAAATCAAGATGTTGAAAATAGCTTAATAGACTAATATTATTAATATCGCACAAATGGTTTAATTTTCACACAATAAATTTCGCATCTCTTTTTTGAATAAGCCAACATGTAATCAATAAATATGATCAAGATAATTATAAGTCTTCAACGATATCCAGGGCGAATAATCGGATGGTATTTGAGTTTAACTTGGTTTTAATCAATGGAGGAAACGATTAAGCGAAATGGCTTTCTTATATTAATTCCGAACTACATATCATTTCGTCAGCATTGAGCAAAAATCTGTGTATTTACAAAGTGGTAGACGTATTCTTTGCAGTTTCTATTAAACTGAAAACAACATAGTTTGAAAATAGACAAGAGATCTTATTGTATCTAAATCATTTTTATTTTACTTCGTACAAACTAACCGACAATTCTCGAGAGTAAACAGCATTGTTTGAAATGGTTAGTACGAAAAAAAAGTAGTTTTATTCATTTTTTTTATTTTATAAAAGGCCAAATTTTTACACAATTTTCTCTCGGAATTTTTTTTACATTCAATTCAGCATAGAAATTTTCTTCATCTTCATCTTCACTCATAGTGACTGGGATGTCACCAGCAAAACGTCGTTGACCTGATGAAGTTGCAAGCAATGGTTTTTTAGGATGAATACTAAATAAAAAAGAAAAGAGAAAGTTTTCATCAAATAAGTATAGAAACTGAAAACACTTCATAAGATATACCTGAACTTGGGTAAAGCTCACTAATTAGTTTCATTTATTTTGATTAATTTACTAGAATCTCTGTACTAATTTTTCTTCTTTCATTGAGGCGACTAGAAAAAGAACGTCATATAGCCGATTTATGTGTTGTACTAAACTACAAATTGATAATCTCAATCTATGTACGCGTATAGATAGCGCCGAAGATGAAACATCGTGTCTATCTTTACCTAATCCCATTTGTACAATCGTTATGAGCTAAAAAGTCAAGTATTGGAGTTGATGGATTATTTACATCCCAGCCTAATACATGACCATTTGAATTTCCAGTCACAAGTGTTGTAAATGAACTATATTAAATAAAATAAATATATTTCAATATAAATAAAAATCCAATTATTATTTTACGGATCAAAATCAAAATAAATGCGTTGATTTGTACCAACATGACGTTGAAAAGTGTGTAGAATTTCTCCTAAATTTCTCATATCCCAACAAAGAATCATTCCATCCTAGAAATCTGATTGAATAAATCAATTATTTATTTAATCACAATTACTTTTCGAGCACCACTATAAAGTTGATTACCATCTGGAGAAAATTGAATATGTGTTATACCTCCAACATGACCGTGTAATACTGCAATTAATTCTCCATTCATATCTCCATAAATTCCAACTAGAATAAGAAATATAATATTTTTTCCTCTGTATTATTTATCAAATATATTTACTAGACTTAGCATATGATCCAGCTGCATACATGCCAGGTATTTGAGAATTAAATGATAAACAACTAATGATTCCTGACTGATAAATATTATTTGCTTTATCTAGAAGATTGCATTTTTAAAATTGAATAAGTTTTTAGGAAAAAAATTACCAAATGTATTCCATTGTCCAATACAAGGACCAGGTCGTTGAATATCAAAAGCACGAATAATTCGATCATATCCACAATAAAGTCGACCTGATTGTAATTCGAATCCTAATGAATGTGCAGCAACAAGTTCTTCCTAAAATAATCATTTTTTTAGATAAATTCTTGTTTCTTTGTTTAAATAAAATGAATATTTTACCAAATGATTAAAAGCTTTATAAGATGCGCGTACTTGACCAGTATAAGCGTCAAATAAATGTACAGGATTATCACGGCAACTGCTGAAGATACTAAAACAATGAATGCAATTTTTTTAAAAGATACTGAATTAAGGAAGAAAAAGCAATCTTTCAAATTCACTTTTTCTTTCTCCTGTATAATATTCTTACAAACAAGTATCACTTTGACTTGAATCCATATATGGATACCATTGAAAATCGTAAATTAATTCTGGTTCTTGAAGATGAAGAACAGCATTCTAGAATTTTTTCAATAAATTTCTTTTTATATAAAATTTCAAAAAATATTTTTACGAGATCTTCATTTAAAGGTAATCTATCACATGGAATTTCAAATACACGTAATTGATTATCATCACTATTTGTTAATAGACAAAGACCATCAGGTGACCTAAAAATATAAATCTATTATATTTTTATTATTTAAGAAATAATCGAAAGTACCATTTACATCCTTTTAGAAAATTACTTGAGCGTTTTGGTGTTGGTGTCGGTAATTGAAATTCATGATTTAATGTAAGTAATGGTGTTTGTTTAGTGATTGATGATAGTTGGTTTTGTCTATTTGAAAGATCAAGTTGTGGTAGATCGGAAATTATTTCTATGGATGAACTTGTTGTTGGAGTATTAACAGAAAGTTGTGCTAATAGATCTGATGGTGAAGCTATTACGGTTGCTGGTGTTTGAGAAAAAACTTGAGTAATTGATTGAAGTAAAAATGGATCAAGTACAGAAGTTCGTTTCTTCTCTATTCCTGACATTCTCGTTTGATTATTTATGCATAATCGATAAAAATCTACAAGAAAAAAGATTTCAGACTAAGAGGAAAGCAATTGATTCTTTAAATCACAGTAGTCAAAACACATAATTATCGACTGAATTCAAAGACAATCTTTGCAAGAAACAAATTAAGAGCAGTTATATACATCCGAACTAAAATTCTGCAGCTATTATGATAATATTTAACAGTATATATTCTCGATTTCTTCCTATAATTGTTGTGAAATATCAATACCAACCCATAAGATTTATTACGTGTGTCCTCGAACATTATATTGTTATATTACAATGATTGCCTCTTACTTTAATCTTTCTAACGCCGTAAGTTTTATATTGTTTAGAAACTTATCATCAATAACATAGACATATATCGTGATTAAGAATTATTTCTATAAAACATAGAAACATTTTTTCATATCTTGCACGTATTATATTTAAAAATCAAAAAAAAAAAAGACAAAATCTTCGTCTGTTTTTTTTCCATAAAATGATACAACAGAGAAAACAAACAACATTAATATTGTTTTAATTTAGCTTGTCCGAGAAAATATGCCAAAACTCGATCGATAGTATATGCCAAAATGACATCACCAAGTACAACATAAAAAACAATAAGTCGCATCTAAATAAAAATAATCAATGATATTTTTATTGTAATCAAAAAAAGGAAATATTCGTTCTTACATCATCAGGAATAAGTACAATTTGAAATTGTTCTGTAAGTTGTGGAAGTAAATTAAATATAAGACTGATAACAAGTGAAAATGAAAATATGATACTATAGAGAAGTGGTTTATTCGAACGGAGACTTTCCATAAATGGATAACCCTAATAGAAAAAAAAAACAATAGAATAAAATTTTTCATTTTAGTATTATTTTACTTGATAATTAACAGCAAATGTCGCTATTTGAAGCGTTATTGACATGATATAAACAGTTGAATTGACTAGATTCGGTGTAAATTCTGCTTCCAAATCAGCAAATTCGTCTGATCTAAAATTAATACAAAAGGTTATATATATATATATGATTTCGAATTAATTTACTTTGGTGGGATTCGTTTATGCGCTTCATTAACAACATAAACTAATGCTGTTAGATGTATTGCAAATTGTCCAAGAACAGAGATTAATGTATATAGATTAAATATATTTGGTAGTGGGCGTTCTCGTGCTAATGTTTTTAATGGCTAAAAAACAAATAAATAAAAATAAACTTCGTCAGCGACTCTAATCTTTGTCAATAGATCATTAAATTATATTCAAGACAAAATATTTACATCATCCGAAGTATTTACCTTAGATCGTGATATAAATAAAAAGCATCCGGCTAATAAAAGACCTTGTAATGTATGTTGTCCATCACTAAATTTAATACCATCAAGATAAAGTACACTTAAACTATAAGCTAATATAAGAGCATTTAAAGCAAGAATTTTGAACATTTGTAATGTTGTTATAAGTGTACATCGACCTTGTTTTATTATATGACAAACTAGAATATAACAAAAAAAAATGTTTAATAAAATTTAATTATAAAAGAAAATAAAAACATACCACATTGAATTGTAGATGTACGTGATGTAAATGGTGCAGCAATAGATGCATCACCAAGACGAACAATGGTTTGTTCGGGTTCTTCCATTTGTTTATATAGTTCTTCGAATTTTTTCTATTAAAATAAAAGATAAGACTTATATAGAATGATAATAAACATTAGCCTCATTCTAATGTTTTTTTCCTAGTGATCATATCTCTTACAGATTTTGTATAAAATATTACCTTTGTTTGCTCTCGAGCCTGTTCTCGAGCTCGAGCAGCTGCTTCAGCTGGTGTAAGAACTTGTTGTTGAGGTGTTACTGTTTGAACTGCGGGTACTTGAACAGTACTTGGAGAAGCTGTAGTATTATCTTGTTGTTCTACACGTTTAGCTGCAACACCAGCTAATAAAGCGACACCTGCGAAAATTAAAGATTAACTAGAATACAATGTAAACAATAGAATCATTTCAACTTACCAACATGTGCATGTTTAAGTGCAGCTACATCATTTGTACCATCACCGCACATTAATGTAACAAAACCAAGATTATTTAGTTTAATTATTACTTGTTCCTATTTTTATAAAAGAACAAAACAGTTAATTATACTTGAATTCTAAGAATACAAATAATATATTACTTTTTGTTTTGGTGATACACGAGCAAAGACTTTTACATGAGGCATTATTGAATTGAAAAATGAAACTGGTAATGATGTACTGAGATGTACCAAACCCTGAAAAAAGCAAAAAAAATATCTAGATTATACTGAAAATTTTTAAATATTTTCTTACCTCTCCAGTAACACAAAGATCATTTGCTTTAGTAAAATCACGTAGATTCGGAGGTTGTATTGGTATACTAATATCTTTATTAACTGATTCCCATATCCATTCTTTTGATTCTAAATATAATCCATCGATAAAAAATACAGAGAAAATGTTTTTTTTCTTATCACCTACCATCCGAAGGAGCAGTTAAAACAAGAAGAGGTTTTTTTGTAAAACGTAATTCTTTAGCCACATGACAAGCAGTTAATGGATTATCACCTGTAATCATTGTTAACTAAAAAAGTAAATCAATTTTATTAGTAGATCTTTAAGAAGAAATCTAACTCACATGATGAGATGAATGACGAAGTTCTCGAATCATTGCTTTTGAATCTGGTTTTAATGGACATGAAAGTACAACAAATCCACAAAATTCCAATTTACATTCAACAGAATTACGTGTTGGATATTGTTCACGTAACTAAAGAAAAAATGATTGTTATTTTTTAAAATAAAACTTCATATTTATTTTTATACCTGTTGATTAGAAAGAATTCCAAGTGATCGATATCCTAATGCAAGAACACGTGCACCTTGTCTTGATAATCGTAAATAAATTTCATCATAACGTTCCGGCACTGTACTAAACTAAAAAAGAAAGACAAACACATTTTTTTTTCTTTTTTGACATTTCATTTATTTTTGTGCACTCAGAGATGTTTACATAACACTCGTCGTCGTCAAATTATTATTTCAACTCAGAGTGGTGCATGGTAAAATCATCATTATGTATATATTTTTCTATTTTTTTTTCTATGGTACGAAACAATAGATTTCTTTTTATAAGTGCTCGACATTTTTGACATAATTTATATATATTAAAAAATACCGTCTGCATTTTTTTACTTTCATATTTCTCAAATGGCTACATCGAATAAGAATCAAATCTATGGTCAAATTATAATAAACAATAATGAACCAAATTTTAATGGAGATGAAATTCTTTATATTTCTATTCGAGATTCTCTTCGACATGAAATCGATTGTATTGAATTAGGTTCAAAAGTTATACATTTATCTAAAGGACAATCGATGCCTATTAAATTTCAATGTTTATATGATCCAACTAAAGCTTGTATGAAATTTGAAGAAATTAAAACAATTCCAGGTGGAATAACTCTAGCAGCAACAATAGAACGAAATGAAACAATCTTATATATCAATAATACAAATATTTCATTGGGTGAAAATATTAATATTCCATTAGTAAAAAATGACTAACAAAAAACAACTTTTCGTTTTTTTTCTTTTCTAATGTATATAAAATGGACAACGTCAGTTCAGTGTTTGAGTTTAAATATAAATATTAATCAGTATGTTAATCATTTATAATAAATCATCTTTCGTAAAATCCATTTTTGTTTTCGAAAACAAGAAAATAAAACTATTCTGATGTGAAAAGACTTTTCTTCTCTTTTTTTTTTCAACTTACCATTGGTTTAAGTGTTTCTGGTGCTCCTTTAACTGCTACAATATATGTTGTTTCATTACTTGATGGTGATGGACTTTGTCCAGCAATAACTGACATGCGTTTTAAAGCACTTAAGAAATGATAACGTTGTGCTATTTGCCAACGTCCAGAACGGCCTTTTATAGGTACAACTGTATCACCACGTGTAACAGTCCATTCAAGTGCACTTAATGTTGCTTTTTCTAATGGATCACCAATGATATCGCCATCAAGATTAGCTAATGCATGACATGTTAATAGAACTTGTTTAACAGGTGATTGCACATCAATTTTTGATAATGGAATTGGATCATCAGAACTAAAATGTACAAAATTATATTTAGGCGTAGTTTCATCGAGAGTTGAGCTCGCCCGGTAATAATCCGTTCGGTTTTTATTCTTGCAAACTAGCGAAACCTTACTCTAATATATAGAACTTAGAAAAGTTTTAGAAGTGTGCGCTAATAAATCTCCTTCAAATTCATAGTGAAACACTTACCCTTGTATACCAGCAACACCTTCAACAACAAGATCATCACTTGTTAATGTACCAGTTTTATCAAAACAACATATATCAACTTTTCCAGCAAATGGAATACGAAATGGTTCAGTACAATAAATAACTAAGAGAAATGAAAATTTATTATCAAACGTTTGTTTGTCAAATATTTCTTACGAAGTTTAACTAATGCAACTAATGATGTATTAACAGCAAGTGATAATTCAATAGGTAATTCAGGTGGAACAACTGATGTTAAAATTAATGTACATTCAATAAATAATTTATAACGATTACGTTTTGGATCTTTTGTACCTGAAAAAGAAAATATACATTATTAATAAAGATTTTTGTTTCTCTCTAAACATTTCGTCAGCGACTCTAATCTTACAAGATTGTATCATTATGATAGAATCAAAATTGTGTTTTTCACATCATCCGAAATGAATTTAATTTGTTTTTTTTCTCTTACCTTCAATCCATACATATGATGCAGCAATAACGGCGAATATAAGTAGAAATAATATAAATAAAAATGTTTCTAAATTGTTAGCTGTAACTTGTTTAACACTGTACAATATTGTTTTTAATAATTTTCCTTGTGATGTACTAAAACCAGTTCGAAGAGCATATGTAATACATCCATTGTCACTTGCTAGAAATTATTATCAAATTTTATTAACTCATTCTTTTCAAAGATACACATACATTTCATTCCGCCTTGCATTTTAGCCGGTGGTGTATGTTGAACAATTTTCGTACCAGCTGAAAGTACATGTAATTTTCCATGACGTTCTAAATCAAATATAGTATTTTCATCAGCATTTTCAATTGGTTCCTAAAAAAGAAAAAGAAAAAGAAACTTATATCTCCTCATCATATTAATAGCTATCAGCATAGAATGACAATCAGTACGTCAATGAAAATATATCATAATCATAGGAGATATGGATCTTTTCTTTTAGTTTCTTACTTTCATTTGTGGTATAGATTCACCAGTTAACATCGATTCATCAACAATACATTGTCCACGTAATAATAACATATCACAAGGTAATGGATTATTTTCATTACTTCGTAAAACTGAACAAAGATCGCCTGGTAATATATCTGTTGTATCAATTTTAATCCATTTTCGTTGACGATATACACTAATTTTATATGGTTGATTACCCATTTGACGAATCATTGCCATATTACGTTTTTGTTGTTGAACTAAAGTTATTTCAAATACGATTAACATAAATAATGTTAATAGACTGTAATACCTATAAATACGAAAAATAAAACATATTAAGTATGTCATAGTATATGATAAACAGTTCTCAGTTAAAATGGGTTAGAATCGTTTTTATCGATCATTCTTAATCTGAAGACCGTCGTTGGATTCATCATTGAACTGTTATATAAAAGTAATTTTACAAATAAATATCTTCTGTCTTCAGATTATTTATTGGAAATAATTCTCCTCATACCATCTGATTATGATCGGAGTGGTGCATGTAGAATCATCATTATGACAGAAGGTATTACCGCCCATTACAAAAAAAAAAGGTGGGTGGGTATTTTTTGCCAGTGAAAGATTGAATTAGTAGTAGTCATAAGGAAAACCTTCACACAGTTTTGTAGTTCTTCATCTGCTCTTTCTAACGGTGAAGGCCGTAGCTCTCTATCTCGTTCCTATCGAAAAATACCCACTCGCCTTTTTTTTTGAAATGGACAGTAGTTCTTAAAAATAGTTTGCGAAAAAACTCCTTACCAATATTCATCTAAACACCAAAGTAAAACACAAAAGACTTGAAAGACAAAAAATGGTGCAGTAGCTCGTTCGATAAATAAATCAATAAATTTTGGTATGTCAATAACCATTCTAGAGAAAAAAAAATTTTAATTATTAATAAATAAAAAATATTTTTTTAAATTACTTATTAAGTCCAAAATTCCATATTCCCTGATCAGTTTCATCTTGTGTTTGATAACCTTTTGATTGAAGATATGAATGAAATGAATTGAATAATGGATACTCGATTGTTTTAAAAGTTTTCTTTTCACTTTCATCATATAAATAACGACATTTTTGAAATATAAACCATGCTTGTTCACGATTATCATGTGGATTCTAAATATAATATTAATTTTAGAAATAAGAAATAGACAATTCTTATATTACTTTTCCATGATGAAGTGGCACCATTTCTGGATAACCATTGTTTTCTGTGGGCTTTACAACAACGATTTCTGCTTTCCAAGGATTTTTTTCCTTAAAAAAAACTCGAAATCATATTTTTTTACAATAAAATTATAAATTCATACGGGTACACATGACATGAATGCGCGTATTTCAACAAACCAATAACAAAATAAGCATGTTATAATATTTAAAAGTGCAATTATAGCAGTAATAATCACGCCTAATTCAGGATACTCTGCACGACCAAGATGAAATATCCATATTGAAAACCAAAGAAGGTAAAGAAAAAAAAATGGTCCTATATTATAATGTAAAAGAAAATGTTTTGAACAATATAATGATATTGAATGAATATCATTATTAAACGGAATTGTTCCAATTTGATTTGATTTTCGCGATGATAATGAGATTGAATTCTGTTGTTTGGAAAAAAGAAAAGAATTCATGATAAATATTCATAAATGTTTCGTTATTTTACCGTCATGTTGAAAATTTTTATGGTTTTAATCGTATCATTATTTGAAATCAATAATGGAGGGTCGAATGATATACTTCGGGCAAGATGCTTTTTTTTGTATGGTTGATATATGAGAAACCAATAGATTGTTGTTTTTTATATGATATCAAGCCTCTCTTAAGTTATATAGCGACCTCTTCATATACGAAATTTTTTTTTTATAATATAATTTTATTTTTGTATACAATAGAATTAGAAAATAATTTATATTTATTTTATTGAATGTTCAAAAAAATAGTTTTTTGTATTGAAAGAAAGACATCTGTAATGGTATTGGTATGATTAATTTTGAATCTGAACTGGAATATACTACAGGAATAGACTAAACAATGAGTCTTTTTTTCAAACACATTAACTAAACTATTGGGTGTATGTTGAATTTGCACTTGACCTTTTTTAAGTCAATATTTTCTTTGAAAACCTATCTATCAAATGAATAAATAAAATACTGTTTGCTTAGAAATACTTAAAAGTTAGCGTTTCGTTTTGACTAAAATTTGAAAAAAAAAATCAAATTATCTAACTGTAATCAAGATTAATTCAAGACATTAGTTGCTCTAGTAAAATTGAGTATAATACAATGATGATTTGAATTTATAATGCAATTTATATATCGCCTCGAATATGAACGAAAAAAAATCGAATACACATTCTTCCATTAATGAATAAAAAACTAGAATATAAAAAACATATTACAGAATTCTAAAACAACAAAAAATGAGCAACCATTTAAGTTTAAAGAAAGAAGAATAAAAAAAATATCAAAAAATTAAATGAACTCTTTACCAGTTGTAAATATTTAGCTGTAATTATTGAAAATAAATTAATTTTCACTTTTATGATTATGATATTTATGTACTCAATACATCTTTTTTGATATGAACTTTAGACCTTTTTTTTGTCGATTTTTGCACGTCCATTTATTTGACGATCTTCTTTCACCACCTCTTCATCCATATGCACTCACACGTCCACACCCGCCTTCTATGAATCTTTCAATTTATATCATACACGCACCAGATAAAAATGAAGCCATCGTGTTCCACATTTTCTTTCTTTTTAGTTGTACACTACACTGTTTCGAAAGATATGAAAAACATGAAAGTGACCATTCCTTCATTTACGAGTGAACCTTTCAAAGTGATTTATCGCTTTTGACTCTATATTTTGCTCTTACGCAGGAAACCACATCGTGGTTCTAGATTAATTGACGGAGTTTATTTCTTTTATAGAGCACTTCGAGAAAATGTGAGCGTCATAAATAAAAGTGATCATAAGATAGATGTGTGTTCTATTTGTAGGTGATTAAGTATTCAGCAAAAGCTTGTGCATCATGATAGATAACGAAAATATGTTTCCCATCAGTTGTCGAATCGAATCCAACAGGTGGACTCTTTATTGAAGTATTTCCTTGAGTTGCTTTTCCAATGAGCACACGAGCCATGAACATACATCGGTCTGCATTCGAATTCGGATCAGTATAACTATGGCTATAAGAGGCATATGATGAAAAGTAAACACCGACACCGTATTTTGTACCTAATTAAGAAATAAAAATGATAGATTCTATAGAATGAAGTAACGTTAAAATAGCATACCATGTTTTCCAGCAAAACTTCGATTAAAACAGTTTTCAATAATTAAGTCTGCTATCTGTTGAGGACAACCATGATATAAACACTTTTCAGTATCTGTATGGAGCCGTTGTCGAAATTCTTTACTATGTGCTACATATTGTACATACCATCGTTCATTTTGAATTCGTTCGATTTGTATTATTGTAGTATATTTTCCATTCATTGTCTGATCGAAATCAGCGATAATCGATTTATATTCAGCACTATTGCTTGATACGACAAATCGTAATTTATTTCCCGTTGATTGCTCCCATGTTGAAGGTAGCTGATAATCGGTTGACGTTCCAAAGTCTATTAAAATTAGAAGAGTGTTTTCTGTGAATATCTTTGCCGAAATTTATGTCGTACCTTCTCGGGATGACAAGATTTGATTACAAAATTGATCAAAAATAGTTTGTTGTGTAGGTTGAATAACAAACTTCACTATTAATGGTATATTTCTCATTGCAAGTTGATGCTTAATTTCTTTAACCATCGTCTTAACTACAATATTTGTAAGACAGCCGTACTGTCCGCATCCAATAGCTGGAAATGCAACTGAAGTAAATTCATACAAAATAACATTCTGAATAACATTCGATATAAAATCAACGATTGATTGTCGAAGGACATCTTTATTTTTATCTGGATTCCATTTGATAAAAAATATTTGTTTACATGGCAGTTTACCAGATGGAATTGAGAGTAGGAGTGATTTTTGATTATTTTCATATTCTTTTGCATACGCTATTTCAATATCATTACCAGCCGCATTCATTATTTCTTTCTTTAAAATATCTGACGATGAGTTTCCAATAATAACATCAACCTATCGATAATAATAGAGAAGAAATATACTTGATATTGATGAAAATCCATCTTTTAGTACTTACTTTTTGCGTTGTTATATCACCTATTTGAACTTCAATCGTTCCTTTTCCAATGGTCACTGCTAAAGATTTTATCTCTGAAGTCTGTTGAATTAGGTTAATTTGTTTTTGGAACTCGTTGTAAATGTCCGTTCTATTTGGTAGTATTACAAAGGAAACAGACATGGGATACTTTACTAGTTGACGATAAACTTCATCAGCAAGTGTCCAAGCAACAAGACTGATTGAACATTTATATCGACCGGAGCCAATAGATGGAAATGCAATACTTTTATAGTTTTCACTTGCTGCTTTTTCCATTGCATTTGAGACGAATTTTCTAATTGATTCACAGCATTTAATGACATCTGTATTAGGTTTCCATGGAAGAAAGTAAACTGTTTTCGCTACTAGCTGTCCACTAGCTGCAATAGCAATGATAGGAGCAGTTGGATTATTTTTGTATTCAGTTGCAAATGAATTCTTTATCAAATCTCCACCGATTTTCAAAACACTTTCATGCAAAGTCGTTGATAATGAGCATACAACGATAACATCGCTCTAATGTATAAGTGAATGAATCTATCTCATTAATTTAAAATACTTAACCTTACCTGTTCGGCTGTTATATCACCTTGATAAATGCGAATCAATGCGTTTAAATCTCTGCTTATAATTGGTTGCTGTAATAGAGAAAACAAAGAATATAAGATATGTCTTTAAAATTCTCAACTTTTTAATTGCTAATTATATGAGATACTTACGAGCGATGATGTGCTCGAATTTAAGACTAAATCTCGTAACCCATTGCATCTTTGGGAATATAGTCTGAAGCAGGCATTACCTTAAAGAAAAAAAGACGTTCGAAATTTTAGATCTTGTATATTTTTCATAATAACCTTCAGAACAAAGATAAATTGGATTGAGTCTCGAGATACGTTGTTTAAAGAGAGTAATTTGCGTTTCACGATTAATATCTCCCACACAATCTATAAACCAGCTAAAACCGAGTTCACGATCGCATGTGGTGGCTCGTTCATTGGTTATCAAGATATCCCAAAGTTGTTCGGTACGTTTGAGTACCAGATAAAGATTGCCTCTTTTCAATAGAAATGAAAGTAGTTCAAGATGATTTTTCGTCGATTGTTGGAGTGAGAGATGTCCATCAACTAGTGTGTCGGGCATTACACTACCTTGCGTCTTATTCCACATATCCTGTTGAATATTTGAAAGATTTTCAATCATGACAGTGATCACATCATATTTGTTAACTAAGATACTAATAAGTTTTTGATTATTTGGTGAATCAAGACCTAATATTTCGTTGAGATATTTGACGGAGCGTGCGTGCCAAAATTCTTTTCGCTGAACAAGTTCTATGCATTTGAGACTGTAATCATGTCTGAATTCTTCGTATTCCGGACGCTCTATGCTAAGTATTTGATAGTGACTACTAAGGAAACAGTCGAGCATCGATGAACTCAAACAGTTTGTAATTGTCGCATCCCATAAAACTTGTAAGATCTAGGACAAAATTATAAACCTGTTTTATTTTTTTCTAAAGTTTTTATAAGCCTACTCGAGCAGTCGATTGTTTTTCACATGTAAGACCAATTTCACCTAACAAAACGATAGACTCCATATGTATAGGCGTCGTTTGTATTTTCCATGACTGAAATTTCCACAAAATTCAAGATCTTACTCTATTTGTTAAATACTTACTTCATCGATACAATCAATTAAGTTGTTCAACTGTTCTAAATTGAATTTGGCTGCTGCAGCTAAGATGAAGGATGAGTGACCATTCTAAATGCATAAATAATATTTTACTAATGTCTCTTCCACAATAACGAAGGATCTCTACCTGCATTTTCCATAATTTTTCAACATCTTCTTTCAAAAAGTGTGGTGCAACAAAACCTATTAGTATACAAACTTTTTTCATATATTCTATTTGATCGGTATTTCCTATTTGTGTGCAATAATCGATTATTTACTTGATAAAAGTTGTTATTATAAGATAATTTACCTTCAAGTGCTTTCCATAGGATTGAATTTTCCCTTATATATGCGAAGAGTACATCATGTGGGATTAATGTATTATTTTCAATAAGTTTAGCGAGCTAATCAAAAGAAAAATTCAGACTGTCGTGATATTAACGAAAAAATAAAAGTTGTCATACTTCTGTCATTGAATTCATTTTAGCATTGAAATTTGTTTGAGCAATCATTTGTAAAATGAGATTTAGATGCAAGTATTCAATATGTTTAGGACAATGTGGCCATACGACTGAGCAAAGTTTTTGTAAAGTGGACAACAGTTCGAATGTGTTGTTTATCGACTAAAGTTCTCACACTTATATTATAGTTGTAGACAAAGAAAAGAAACAATACAAACTTCAATTTGAAAATCTTTTTCTTCTAAATTTTCAATATAATTAAATATTCGATCAATGTCTTTGCCGAATAGCAGTCGATATTTTCCTTTCAAAATATAATTTATACAATTGGCAAATGGACTTAGTAGAGCATTGAATTCCTAAAAACGACGAACGTTATATTAACAATTTATATGATTATTTGTATACCAAAGCAGTTAATGACTGATGATTTTCAAATTGTTCTTTCAAATTTTGAATTCCGTTTTGTTCGACGAATCGATTAATAATTTGACAAAGCCAACCGTGTGTATCACTCGAAGTGATCAACAAAAATGAAGGACACGATAGTAAACGATCATTTAATTGTTCATCAGAGAAAGAAGATTGAAACGATTGATTTTTATGTTTCCGGTGAAAGACAGAATTTGGATCGAAGATTACAGCCAATGTTGCAAGCAATTGAACAGGTACTGGTGTATATGCAAGTCGAGCAGCAATTAAATCGATTAGTAATTTTGTCATTTCAAATATGCCCAGTTGTACTTCCTTTGACCAATGATTAACATGAAACGAACAATGTAACTAGACGAGTTCAAACAAGAAATTCGATGAGAATGAAACGAAGAAAAACGACGTACTTTTTTAAAAACTTCAGGAATAAGAACTTCCATGAATTTTTTGCAAGATTCATCTTGATCAGCAGTACCTATTGGATTAGATGAATAGATTGAAAAGAAATGAACAGAGAAATATTTTTATTTTACCAACACGAACAAGTTTAGTAGCTGATAAAAGACATTCACCTAATGGTTCTTCACCTAAAACACAAAAGAAACGATCTCGATCACTGAATCTATTCAGATTATCAAATAATTGTCTAACTTACGTTTGTATGGAATCGTCCAGTTCTCACCATAAACTTTTGTTTCCAAATTCAAAAATGCACTGATGGTGAACAAATTCAAATCGTTATTCATTCGATTGTTCAATGCTGTTGTTGACAATATATTTGAATTATTTCTGAAAAAAGCCTAGTAAATAGAACGACAGAATACATATGTATATTTATATCGAGCTACTGAAAACAGATCTTTTTATCTCTCTTAGATAAACTAACCATATGTTGTTCGAATTGTTCATCCACAAACTCGAAATCACTTTTAGAATCTTCTTTTAGAGGTAATACACGATCGATAAAGTCTAAAAAAGTAATGTTTTAAATATTTTCTTTGATATTTATTCTTTTGTTACTCGATGTTGTTGAACACGATTCGTTATCATCAACTGCAGTAATCGTTGAATTTCTATTTTGAATAAGAACGAAATATTAATCTTAACAAGGCAAATAATAATTTTCAATCTGACCCATTGCTCGTGTTACTTTCTATACATTTGCGTTTAGAAACATTGTCACTATTATTGTGGTTGAATGATGTATTAGTCGAACAGTTAATACGTTTCATTGCTATCGTAGTCGAATTAAATCTACGAGATATATCTGAAATGAGTCGAACATTATTTTATAAACTTATCCGATGGAGAAATTTAATGGGTCCGTTCGTCATTTGACATTATCGAACAGGTTTGGATAAACTATTTTACACTTCAGAACGACGATCGACATAGTAGAAAATTCTATAAAAAGTTTCATTATATATAGATCTTCGACTGAAGTCACAGGTTTCGATATTAAGAAAAATGTGAGCAAATTGAAAAGATATACATACATGTTTAGTCTGTTTGTCACTGTAAGTTTTTGTAGAACCGGGCGTTCAATGTTTGTTGTTGAACAACAAGAATAAGAACAATACGAGCGATAGAGAGAATAGAACGAAGAGATAAAGAAAAACGGGAGAAATATGACACATATGTATGTGTGCGTATATATATATATCTATAGAATCACGATAGTGACTAACGCCATACATATATGAAAGGAAAAAAAGAACCTTATGTATATATGATAGAAGAACGCATGGAATGTTTCAACATTATCAGAGGGAATATTCCAATATTTATATCTCTAGACATATTGGATAATATACCTACAGTCACAATAATCAACTGCTGTTTGAATCGATTCAGGTATAACTTTACAATCTAAAATATAATAGAGGGAAAGGTTATCCTGTTCTTATGCGAGGATCTATTGAAAGTATTTAGAGAGAAATTTAAACTAACGTTACTTCACTTGATGTAATACTCTATTCATTGAAAAAAAGAAAAAATCCACACAACGTGCGCATATAATGCGCTTTGTTATTAAGAGAATGGTAACGTCTCACATTTTTCTCTTTCCTTCTTTTACTTGGAAAAAACCTTTATGAGTCATTCGTTTGTAAAGAAAAAAAATGAAGAAAATATTTTATTAAAACGAATAACATCATTTTATTCTAAACATTTGATAACGTAATCAGATAATAGTTTTTAGAGTGAACCGTTATTTTTGTAATTTGTGAATCCTTTTATCATTTACACTGTAAGTATAGAGACGTAATCAATGAAAATCAACAAACTAATATATATGTTTATTGTGCCACACATTTCGAAATGTTCCATACGACGACAAAGAATAACAAGAATATTCATCCATTACCAGACTTGTACTATTTTATTACTTATATGATAACTTAACCTTTCCGTCCGGATGTTGTCATATGGCAATATTGAATTAATATTCTGCTCAAAATTGACTAATACCAATGGCTAATCATTTTTTTAACAATTCGATAATTATGTGCAGACATTTTAGCACTGATTCAGCGTTCAGAACAGAAAAAAAGCATTCATTATGAAAATAAACAAGGTTCTACCGAATCCCCCCAAAAAAGCATCCTAATAGAAAAAACGATTTTTTGACGCCACCAGATATTCACTAGTGAAGGCATCTTGATGATGGGTATGGGCACGAGTGTCGATGTAAGATCAGTATCACATCTTCATCCACGCCCAGATCATCGCAATCTGAGCTCTGGACATCATGAACTGATTCATTCTCGATCGAATTTTGCGACGAGAACTATGAAAATTTAGCTTTTTGTTGCAAGTTTCATAGGTAAAGAAAGGCACTATTTGTTATTGCAAAACATAAAGAGAGAATGAATATTTTTTTAAGTTTCTTTCGAAAGTGTCATATTATCTCGGACATGTATATGAAGGTTTGTTCTTATCTTTTACAAGCAGAGAAGAAACCTTTTCAAGATGAATAATATCATTATCAGCTGAAAAGAAAACAAAGACTTTTACCAACTCGAACTATTTATTTTGTTTGCCACTCTTTCTACATCGATATCTTAAGACTGAATGCGGGTGTGAGTGTCCAGACCGAACAGATACAGACCCACACCCCTTGGCGAATAACTTTTCGTCGAATGTCGAAAGATTTTTCGTCGGAAGATATTTCGTCGAGAAGAATAAATTGTAAGTGTTACTACTCTAGTGACTTTCGACGAAATATCTTCGGCGGGTCATCTATTCGACGAAAAGTTATTCGACTAACGGCTTTTTCCCCCGTACACTCACATCCACACCCACTCCACATCTCACCCACTCATACCCACATCCTCAGTCGAAAGAAATTGTAAAAAACAACTGCTAACTGATGTTAAAAATAGATCATTTTTTCGATGAATAAATTTATTGCTCCCCTATACATCATTTCTTTATTATTCTTTGGCAGTTGATATATAAAAAAAATATATTGTTGTTATGTGTTGTCTGTTGTCAAGTGATGACAACACTTCATCTCTTCTTTCTTCCAGACCATGTAAGTTTGCTGTTGATATCAAAATTTTTCTTTTCTGTACTTCCTACCATTGTTGAAAAGAACTTGGAAATTACCAACTTGTAATTCTTCTATGTCTGTATAAAAACTATAAAACATAAACTATCAAATTTTTGAATCACATTAAATTCTGAGAAAAATATTAGCCGAGAAGTGTTTTGCTCACAATAATTACTCATGTTTCTTTTTATCATTATATATTTAATTTCATTGTTATTTTCTAGTGATCTTAATACTTATTGAATTTAACAATGTCAAGTGATGAAGATAGTGATTTCGGAGTAAAAATTTCTCCACAACCATTAGTTGCTTCTAAATCTTCCTCAGATACTAAACTACATATAAAACCGGCTAAGAAACATGGTATACCCACTACAACTTCCACTACTCAAGATATATTCGTCTATGTACCTGATCTACCAATGGACTATTCAGAAAGTGATCTGGAAGAAAAACTTCAAACTTGTATTGCGAAAAGTGGACGTATGAAAATAAAGAATATTAAATGTTATTTAAACCTCAGTATTGCTGTAGTAGAATTAACTAATAAAGAAGATCAAAGATATCTTCTTTCGGAAATTCCCTCGATGATATTTGATAAAGAACGTGGAATAAATATTTCGTTTGTCAATGAACTCAATTTTGACTCTTACATTGTATTAGATCAAAATATGACGAAGATTCCTTCTACCGATGAAATCTCTCGTCGTTATATGCAAGTATATAAAACACCAGATCAATATGTCTGTGAACCCATTTCTGCTCAATTTTCAAACATTTTTCGCATTTGCTTAACAACTCTTACGGAACTTGTCACCGTTGCTGATTCATCCAGTTTCAAAACAGGAAATACTATCGCAAAAGTTTTTCCACGTGCTGATTGTTGTTTTTTCGAAGATTTACCTTCAAATACAAATAACGAGAAATTATCGAACGCTGTGGCTGTACAAATTGGTGAAAGTAAACTTTCTTCCACTTCTTTCTATGTACAGCATAATAAAGAAACAAGTACTGCCGTTGTGTTATCAACAAAATTATCGAAAAATTGGAAAAGTCAAGGTTTTATCGTCCTGGATGGTCGAAATCTCTCGAAAAAAGTCAAACTTACATATCGAGTTATTGTCTCTCCTTTTCCTCGTGATTATGATGTCAATCGTATTCTTCAGAATAAATTATTTGCAGGTCATTATCTTAATCATTATCTCAGTGATGATCACCTTATTATTGAACTTAATAGTATCGATAGTTACGAGAATTGTCTAGCAATTGGCGCTATTCGTATTGATAATGTGACGATGACTATCAAACCACATACGATTGATAGTAATCCAGATCAATGTGAAATTAGTGCAGAAAATTGGTATGAAACATCAATGCTGGATACTAAACCAGATATAACCACAATTATCAATAATCCTCAACATCCAATTCTTCATTATAAATGGAATGCTCAAAATTGGCTTGAGCAATTTAACAAAGCACAACAACAGAGAAATCAAAATGCTAAATATGATCGTATTTTACACTTATTACGAGTAACAGTAATGTTAAATACGATTGCTACTATTCGAAAAAAGAAATATATTGTTGATGGTCAAGAAATAAGATTGAATTTAAAACGTTTGAAAACAATTGGATATGATCATCGATCCAAATTATTCCATGGAAAATGTATTATGCAAACAGATTTTAAAACTCCATATGAATCAACCATAGTTCATGTGGTTAACGAAGACTGTCTTATACTTTATGAAAAATTAGTTTCTCAAGGATATAAACCATTATTATTGAATATGGCTAATGCAGTTACTCCAGGGGGTGGCTATCGAAAAGGTGATGGAGCTCAAGAAGAAAATCTTTTTCGTCGATCTGATTATTATCAAAGTCTTGATTTTGATGTCGCGGATAAAGATCAATCCGAACCACTTTTTTGTACGGAAAAAGGTGCATTTAAACGACCAACTGGTTATCGTGGTTTTTATCCAATGGAATTATTTGGTGCTATTTATACATCCGGTATAACTGTCTTTCGACAGCGAGAAATCGAAGAAGGTTATGCCTATATGATTAAGCCACTTTCTAATGTTTGTTCGATAGCAATAGCAGCATTTCGAGATCCAGAATTGAATAAAAATAAAATGTTAGAAAACAAATTTGCTGTTAATACACATAAGAAAATTGAAAGTATTTTTGCTATTGGATATCACCAAAACCATGATTGTTTAGTTTTATCTGCTCTTGGTTGTGGTGCTTTTAAAAATCCCCCGGAACATATTGCATTACTTTTTAAATCTGTTCTTACTCAATATGCCGGATATTTTAAAGAAATTTATTTTGCTATTATTGATGATCATAATACTGGAAATAAGATTAATCCAAATGGAAATTTTCTTCCTTTTCAAAGGTTATTGGATAATCAAATTTTTTATCCGCCAACAATATTACGTATGAACGGAGTCAGCGGACCCTATCGTATTCTGAATAAAACTTCGAATGGACAATTAACTCTTAGTGATGTACTCATCGTACATAAATCTCCATGTCATCATGGATCAAAATGTCATGATCTTCAAAATACTCGACATTGTGAGGAATTTTCACATCCACACGTATGTTCTTATCAAAGTGCTGAATCACCATGTAAATATATGGATGATGAAGTTCATAGGTTTGCATTTCAACATAATAGTAAATGTAAATATGGTGGTGAATGTACAGATAATGATCCAAAACATTTAAATGAATATGATCATCCTGATATGTGTAAAGATGGTAATTATTGTATAAATACAACTAAAGATCATTTATTTGCTTGTCGTCATTTACCCATTTGTCGATATGGAATTAAATGTATGGAATATTTAAAAAGTCAAGCTGATCATTGTAATGCTTATCGTCATTGTAAAACCATCTGCTCCTATGATAATTGTTGTGTTCAATTTCATGATAAAGAACATCTAGAAAATACAATCCATTCCTTTCGACCACCTTGTCCATTTACGCCATATAATTGTCAAATATTTGTTACATATATGCAACGTCGTTCAGGAGAGACGACTACTCGATATATTGAAAATCATTGTTTACAATATTCACATGTATGTCCATTCGGTCGTTTATGTACAACAAAAGAGAATGGACATTTTCTAACTTCGATTCATATTGCTCGTCAACTTTGTCCTGATGCAGATCAATGTCGGAAACTAACGGATGAAGAACATTTACAGTCTTATTCTCATCCAAGTATACGAGATATTCGTCTCTTTTGTCGAAATCCAGGTTTTAAATGTCACCATCGATCTGATAATCAACATATACGAAAATATCGACATGGAGCAAATCATGATCATTTAAGTGTTGTACCATCGAGTAATTTTAATTCATCGATTAATTTTGCACGTAATCAAGGTGCAATAATTCGAAGTCTAAATGCATTCATGGATACATCAGGCATGAAAAGAATGCAAATATCTCAAGAAATACTCAATTGGGTACGAGCATTACAACCTGTACATCGTTGCAGTGCACCTATTTTTGAATCCATTCTTGTCCTTGGCCATGTGATGAGTCGTCATTTTATGGAACTATTAAAGAAACCTAAACATGTTGCTAAAGCTGTGTTACAACATAGTCGAATACGTCGAATTTTGCTAGAACATAACATTCCTGAAGTAAAACAAAATGTTCATGAATTAATTAAACTTTTAGTTCAATCAGAATTTGCAAACGTAGGAGCTGATGGAGTATTACCGGTAGACGCTGATCACGATGATAATGTTAAGACTGTTGAAAGAAGATTAAAGCCACCACTAGATGATCATGACATTAAAGTTATACATGCATGGGCAGTTGAAATAGCTCAAGCATCGATTGCATTGACTTCTAAACCAATGGGAATTGGCTATGATGTTGATAAAAAATTAGGAACTGATAAACATATATTTAGTATATTGGGACCACACCATGGGTCTTATTATGGTGATATTGTTATTAGTTTTAAACAAGAAATCATGTTTCATCCGGATGCAAATTTTTCTATTCAAGCTGGAACTAGTTTTTGTAGCGGAAAAGTTTATACACAACGACCATGGTGGAAAGATTCAGGCAATGAAGATAAACATATAGAAGATTTTCATAATGCTAAATTACATTGTTCTGTTCCACGTTATGAATATGCTGCAGCTACTGAACTTGTTGCGATTACTGGTCTAAATAAAAAATCAATGGATATCGATCTTGATACTATTATTCAACAATGGTCAACTGTCGATTCACATTTTGTCTTTGAGGGTCATTTACCTCAATTGATTCCCCTGGATTATATCGATAATGTTTACATACCGAAAAATTTATTTCAAACATTAAAGCCTGAAGCTCAACAATCTGCTCGAGCAGTTTTTGGTAATTCATTGATTCTGACTGATCATGTAATCGATCTTAGTTTAATTCAACCAGGTGATCTGGTTCCATTAGATGAAACTCGGAAACCTTATAGAGAATTTATACTTGCAAAAAATCGAGAAAAAATTCTAGAAAGAATGAACGCACCACAGATTTCTCGTGGCATTGTTATTACTGTACCTGGTACTAAATTTGATGATCAAATTGTTATACCAATCACTATTTCTCAATCATATAAATTATACTGTCTAGACAAATCTCAAGCAGCAGATCATCCTGAATATACATATATTTATTGGCAAGTCATGAGTGGTGATATGATGTTGACAATATCGAATGAAAAAATTCAATCTTCTGATAAAGATCAAACCAATTTACGATATCTTATTTGTTATGTGGCTGAAAAACCATCTCAAGCGACCGAAGATTATCATGAAATGTTTTCATATTTAAACGATGGTCATCCTCTTCAACATTATAATAATATGCATACAGCTCGTTTTAAAGCTAAATCTAATGTGTTCTATCGGGGTTGTAATACCGATGATTTCTTTACTTTTTGTTTAAAAATTACTTATAAAACAAATGAAGTAACATTATCACATGCTGGTCCAAATGGTATTTATAATCATCAAAAAATATATTATCGATTCGATAAATCGAATTTAGATTTATCTAGATTAGATTATATTCATGTTAGTGGTGGATCTCAAGATGTTCCTATACGTAATTTAATTATTCGTCACGAAGAACTTCCTCAATTACATCCAGCATTTGATAAAGAATATAAAATTGATACTTCCGAAATAATCAGACAACGTCGATTATCTGTTGATCATATACTCCCTGCTACTTATTACGGTGGAGAACATAGGGGAAAAAAAGATACTTCCGGGTCATCTAAATCGCGACAAATAGCTTCCGTTGAACCTTCATTAAAAGTTGAAAAGCTATCTGTTTTTCAACGAATTAGAACCGCACTACTTTGCTCATCTGGAACAGTTACTCTACCAAGGCCAAATCTTCAGGATGTTAGTCTACTAGAGTCTGCGACATTACCTACTTGTCCTAATTCTATTTACTGTTTACAATTAGCTGACAAAGATCATGCTAATAAATATTTTCATCCATGTCGTTTTAATGAATTATGTCAAAACAAAGACAAAGAACCTTATCTTGTTCATAAACATCATAACGTTCCTAAATGCTCAGACGATAAAAATTGTTCTGATCTAATCAATCCTGTTCATCGTGCCCAATATCGACATACAGGTTTATCTGATTATCTTTATCCATGTCGCAATCAAGAGAGTTGTTACGACAAATCTACTAGCCATCGAATAAGATATTTTCATGGCGAAGAAATTCCTTCATTTAAAAGTAAAATCTTTTTCTCGAGGAAGATCTTTATATGTGAGATTTTTTTTGTAGAAAATAAAACATCAGGCAATGTTCGTGGTGGAAATGAAAAAAGACGTCATTTAATTCCATGCAGATATGGAGATCAATGTCGATCGACAAAAGATCCACAACATATAGCAAAATATTCTCATCCAAGTTAAACATAGTTCTTCATATTCAAAAACAAAATACATGAAACATACACTATACTATTATTTTTTGATTAGTTAGATTAATTAATTTAATTTCAATGATTTTCTTTTGATCAATAAAAAACTAAAATATTATTGTATGAACTTTTTCATCAGTGATCATCTTTTGTGGACTTTTTTCTTTGATTATCCTGAGGGTGTGGGTATGGATATTGTATTAATCATACACTCACACCCACCCTCAAGGTTTTTGGGTACTATTGATCTTATTCATACAGGTTTGATATCAGCTAATTATGTTCAACCACTTCGAACAAAAACTTCATCTAATACTACTTTTCAATCACAAACACCTGACAATGTCAATGTAAGTTAAAGATATATTTTCTTTGACTTGAATAATTCGTTCTTTTCTATTATAGTCAGATATTTCTTCTCCAAATACAAATATTCCTCAGTCTACTATTCAAGGAGGAGAACAAGCAATAGTCTCTTGATATAAACTTTGTGTTTGTGTTTTACTGTTAATGTCGATATTGTTTTATTTTTAAAAGTTTTATTTGTTTTTTTCTTTTCTTAATATTTTGGCTCCGTCAGATAAATGATAATAACAATATAATAAGTACAGTTCATTTTTATACAATTTTTCAGGATTATAATTCTTTCAATGAGAAAAGATTTGTTTATTTGAATTCGTAGATTGAATATTTCTCTACGAAATTCAACAGATATTTAGATTCATTTTTTCCGGCCTACACCGGATGTCAACTTGGTTTCTCACAATGAATTGCATCGGTAAAGAAATCTGTATCATATTTTTATTTATTGAAAACAAAGCAGAATATTGTTCTGTTTTGAATTGAATCGTAAATAATCTTAAGCTGGTTCCCATGTCCAGGTACCATAATCAGGATTTTCTGTATATATACGAACTGCATCTGTATGGTCACATGGCTCACAACCAGGAGAATCATTTGCTTGTTGTCTACAACAAACCCATCGACCTTCTAAGAGATCACCACCCATATAGTATGCAAGATGTTTTTTACAGCCACCTTTTGTAAATTCATCAAACTGTTGATTACAACGAGTACAGGTTTTATAACGATTTTGTCCTGCATCATTATATAAAGCATCACGTGCATCATCAAGAAGAGAACGTAATTCAAATAATTCAGCTGAACCATCATCTACAGTTTCAGTTGGTTGTGCATGAGCTAATGTACGTATAGCCTGTACGATGACATCAATCTTAAAAGAAAAAGATATAAAACAAATAATTATCTTTACATTGGAAAATTATTTTTACTGTTGGAACACCATTAATCGGTGTTGTCAAGTCATCATAACTAAAAGCATTATATTGAGGAAAGCCTTCAATTGCTTCAAGCATCCATTGTTCCATTTGAATATTTGGTTGTGTTCGAATAATGACAAATGCTTTACCACGTTTAACAGCATAACGAAATCCCAATTGACAATTAGTAGATTCAACATACGATTTTGATAGAAAAACGAGCATTACCTTAGCACATTCCACACCTAACAGAGTGAGAAGTAACTATCAATGAATAATAAACTTTTCCCATGACAAACCTGTTGCCATCGCATCATTTATGTTCCCTTGCATAGAACCCCATATATCAAACCAAGCCTTAACTTCACGCATTAACATATCTTCATATACAGTACGAACAAATGTCTGATTATCCCATTGATAGCTACAAATAAAACATTTAAATCGCAAACTTTCTTTTTTATACAAATTCATTTACCTAATCATACAATCGAGTTGAACTCGTTTTGGTAATCCATATTCATCAAGAATTGGTGGAGGTGCTTTTAAATCCATACGTGTAATTGAATGATGAATATGATTAAAAGCAAGTGTAGCATTGGGTTCTGCTATAGTAACACGAACTGGTTGTCGATCCGTTGTTGAATTAATAGTACGTACTTTACGTAATGGTGGCCATATTTGTAATTTACTTTTACATTCTTCAATTTTTTCTTTTAATACCTTCATTTCTGTTTGTTCACGTTCAGCTTGACTAGGACGTGGTTGACATGCAATCTATTTTTTAAATAAAACATAAAGATCTGAATTAAAATTTTATTCTCATGACTTACTTCAACTGCTACACGGAGATCGGTTATACGATTACTATCATAGAGTGGTTCATATGGACTAACTTGAGTATTTATTCGAAAATATGTTGCACCAGCTACTGTGATACCAAGCCAATCTTGAGGTTTCCAATCTATAGCAGACATAACAGGTATAATCGGTTTTTGAAGTAGACGAGCTTCTTCAAATGCTATTCGACAAGCTGGGTTTTTTTCAAATTCTGCTGAAAGAATTGGTACGATAACGGTACATTGCCTAACACTACAAGTAGCATTTGCATCTGAGAGGTTTTCAACTATGGTATTTAAATTTTTTGCAGAAAATTCATTATATATCAAATTTGCAACCGGTAAACCTTCATCAGTTGAACAAATAAGAACAGTGCATGGTTTATCATTATAAATAAGATTTCGACTATTATTATCAGTTTTCATCTATAAATACAATCAAATATTTTATATTTATTCATTGCAATATCATACTTTTTCTGGATCGGTAACATTTTTGCCATTATTCTTTTTATTTTCTTGAGAAGAAATAGTATTAGATAATTGTTCAATAATATTTTCTGAGATATCATCATTTTCTAGTACTATTGATTGAATAGCACTAGATGATATAACTCCTAAGGCACCATAAGTTTGGAAATTGGACTCAGTATAAATTGCAACAATTGGTTTGTGAACATCTTTTGCATAGTTAATCGTTTCCATACAGAAGGTTGTTTGTTGATACATTCGACTAATGTTAACAATAAATACATTACACCAACGAATAAGATTTGCACGAGCAACTATTGATTCCGGTGTTGTTTCGTTAATAATATAGCATGTAAAACGATGTTTACTTAAATTATCTTTTATTTGTTCGGCAATCTATTGTTGATTAGTATGACAACTAATAAGAATATTCATCGTATTCGACGTTGAAGCTATTTTAAAAAATATATATATATATCTATATTTAATGTGCTTTATAATGGATTACCTGTTGTAGAGGCTTGTGTCGCAGGTGAAACACGTTCTGTCGTTTGTTGTTTTCGCTGATCCTCTTGTAATGATCGTGACGATGTTGATTTGACAGCAGCATTAGGGACGTGTTGTGAATCGTCGGCTGCAACGTTATTTGAAGCCCCACACCCCATCAAGTACTTTTTTAAGATAGAGTGAGGCTGTCAGGTAAAGAAAAGAACAAGAAAGATCGTAGAGAATTTTGTCAACAATACACATTAGTCACCTATATTCTCTGTAATGTTCATGGTTACCATTATTATTCTTTTTTTCTTTCTTTCTTTTTAAATATTTTACTTGTTTTATCACATACTACAAGTGGAAGTTATAATTGACAACGAAACTTCAAAATGTTGATTTAAGAGCGCGAAAGCTTTTTTAAAAAAATTTATAATGCATGTAAATAGTTTGCCCAATGAATTATCTATTGATTTACTTACTCATGATCTTGATTCTCGATCATTTCTAATGTTTGTTCGTCGAGAAAATGAAAGATATAGAGAAATTTCAACATCTGAACATAATCGTCAATATTCATTAAACTATACTTCATTTGATCATGCACGTGGATTTACTCGTATGAATAAATATGTTAATCTATCATCAAATTTTTTAATACCATATCATATGCTTAGTGAAAATGGTCGAATAATTACTCATGATAATTTATCTGTTGATCGTCGTCAATGGAAAAAATAAAAAAAAAAACTATCTAATCAAATTGAACCTATACAATTACATTTAAATTCACATACAAATATGTCTGTAAAGAAAGCAATGTACAATTGTCAACGAGAACTCTTTAAGTGGATTGCTAAAACTAAATGAAATATTCACTCTATTAAATTTGAGTGCAGTAGACATAGAAATTATAGTATTATTTATCGATAACATTGAGTATCTAGTTATAATTTCCAATATTAATCTCATCCAATTCAATTCAAACAACAATCGATATTCGTTATTAATTAAATTTATCCCATTTCCTTATCTTTTCGTCAAACATTTCGTGTGAAAACTATCCGTGACTTAAATTATATGTTATTCTACGATGTAAAAGCCTTCTTAAAGCATATATGAGTAATAATTGTTTGATATATAGTCAACACATGTATACTTTTTATCGAATAACATAAAAATTTTAAAACACAAATATATAGCGGTCAGTTTCAAATAAAACAGTATATATTAATTATTAAATTTCAACGAGAGACTTATCAAACAAAAATTTCTGTTAGATATACTTTGCATATTTTAATAATGAATTGTTAGTGTAAATCTCAAGTGTAATACACATAGGAACATACATATATAAATTCATTTTTTTTATCAAAATCAGTTATCCTTTGTGAGTTACATATCTAAATATATGATATATTTCGAATCCCTTGACTCAGATTTATTTATTTAACAAGAATTTTTTTTTACTAAATTTAAAACGACAACAGTAAATCGTCAATTAATAGTTCGAATCGCAAATTCTATTGTTAGAAATTAATGTGATGTAATTAATCATAAAAGATAACACATCAATTATAATATATGTAAAATCTCACAGAAAGGATGTGTGGGTGTGATGTGATCTTCTCATTCATTACAAATACCCACACCCACGCCCACCCTCACGATTTTCTTTGATCTATATGCGATTGTGATTCATATCTAATGTTTTCCTGCAAGAATAGGAACGGATAGATATAGATAGGAATAGTTTGCTTTTAGTGAATATTAGTTATAATCCATAAATATGCACATATAGTCCGTTATGTCGTCTTTTATATGAAGGAGTATGTGTGTGTGAGTGAGAAAAACAGCACGTAGTTGTAACACGTAAGAACACAAAAGAAAAAAATTACTTCATAGTTTCAATATTTTCTTCGCTACGTGTTGAAAAAAAATATTGTATCATATTACGAACGACTACTAGACGATCGAAGTAAAAACAACCGTCTTTTTTTTTCTTCTGTTGGAATAAGCCAAAATGAAAAACATACGTTGTTATTCTTAGTCGTGCGCGACGTTGTCTGCTGTACGAAATAATATTAAAACAAGTAAGCAAAATTGTAAGCAGTTGAAAGTATTAGATTGGTAGAGTAGATGGCTGACTGTCGATAGGTTTTCTCGAGTTAGGGTGTGGGTGTGGGTGGGTGTGATTGAAGATAAGAGTATCACCCACACCCTCAAATACGTCTTGCTAATAACAAAAGGCCTATGGACGGTCTTTTAAATATATAGTGTCTGTCAGCTCAATGAGCTGCTATAAATTCATAAGGCAAATTAGTATGATGAAACTTGCGACATTTCACACATCCAATAATATTTCTTAAGTTCACTGATTTACTCAACTGATTTTTTCCTTTGTAGAAGGAGATAAGATGATAAGACTCCATTATTGATATTGTTTCTTACACACAAACTAAGAAAAAAAATTAAATAATGATTCTACCTGATCTTTGACTCAATAGAATCACATAAAGAAAAAAAGAGTGTTTCTTTATTGTTCTATATAAGTATGAAGCCTTTTCAGTAAGGTAAGCATTACGTTAACACATTTTGAGAGTGAGAGTGTGAGTGAGTGTTCTTTGTCTCTTCACCCTTACTCATCCCACACCCACACCCTCAAGATAAACATAGTACTAATTGATATTTGTTTTGCTTGATCTAGTAACATGAATACGAAAGAAACATCTGGTTGGCAACCAAGCCCTTTTTACTCGGCATGTGCGGACAACGATCTGTCACGAGCTCGTGCAATCATCAAACCCTCCCTTCTCGAGCAACCTGATCCTCAGGGTGATACAGTTCTACATATTGCATCGTGCAGAGGATATGCGGAACTCGTTGAATTTTTATTACGCTATCGTGCTTCTCGAACGATTCGCAATAGTCAAGGATTAACCGCTGAGCAAGTGGCGACAAAAAATGAAATCAAAGATCTTTTCCAAGGCAAAAAAAGAACGGAATCAGATTCAAATTATTTTGTCGCGACGACCACTGAAATCGAGTGGCTCGATTCGTACAAAAATGCTTACCGAATTTCCTACGAAAACCGGGAACTCATGAAACGATGGCTTACCAAGGTTGCGTTCAAAAAACTAATCGATGAAATTGCCGCTGGGTATATCGAGAAAATTACGTTTTCGAGCGAGACATCAAAAAACGAAATCAAGTATTTTATCGAAACTGTGGCCGAATGCGAAAATCCAGCGGGACTGATCTCTGCTTACACGAGTGGCGGAACTGGCTTCTGTACTATTTTAAATCATGGCTTAGCTGAAATTGGTTCGGATTTTCGATTTCTTAGCACTCAAAATCTATTCCATTCTGGTTTTATCGATAATGAAGCGCCGAAGGGTCTTGGAGAACATATATTTGCAGCCGTCGTTATTCATCACCCTTTTTTCAAAGGTTATTACCGTTCAAACATCACTACCTACCGTGGCATGAGCGTTTCGAAGGAGGAGTTCAGTAGGTATAAAAGCGACGAATTCGTCATGACACGCTCGTTTCTTTCCACATCGTTGAAGAAGGACATGGCTGAATGGTTCATTCGAACTGGCGATCAGGACAAACAGCCGGTTTTATGTGTCTATGAAATAAAGAATCACCAAACCGGTCTCGATCTTCGCAATTTAAGTATATTTCCAGGCGAAGAAGAGGTGTTAATTGTTCCATTCACCGTTTTTCGTATAAAACAAGTCGAAGATATCAGTGTGGATAGCAGTGCAAACAACTCTTCTATAAAAATGATCAAACTTGAAGAATGTAATTCGATTGTTTATTGAACATTGATTTTGTTAGCGTTATCGAGGTAGTCAAAATAAACTTCTATTACAAAGTAAACAAGTGACGCTCGTGTTAGCGATGAGTCAAGTCATCACTCTTTCTATGCGTGTTTTATTAAAAATATGATACGTAATCACATTATTCCTTTTTCTTCTCTCTTTCATTTTGAGTCAAAAATGTAATCATATATCACATTTTTTCCTTCTTTTTCTTTTTGGTATATATATACTATTCATTTCTTTGATATAAGGGGTCATTGTATTAAACAAAATCGATGAGATATACTCATATACAATTTTATTTATTCCCTCGTAGCCCTACAGACAGGCTAACAGCTCGTCTAAGAGCTCGCTCAGTTCTTTCTCGAAGAAATGCGACCACTTTATATTTAATGGAAAAAATAATTGAAAAAATTGATCTTCTCTGTTCATCATCACTGTGCACGCACTAGCATCATAGCTAGTGATACACACAAATAGGGTCACACTTGAGCTTTCAACAGCAATTTCTTTCAGACGTGGGTGTGGGTTTGGATGTGGATGCGATTGTATTAGATAACTGTATCCACACCCTCACACACACCCGAGGTGTACCAAGAGTTTCATGGCGCATTTTTGCTAAGATGATGATCGCAAGGCTTCATAAAGCTTTTCAACCGTCTCTCG